ATAGTTCAAATAAAGATCAACCTGTATTTCAAACGACGAACAAATAAAATTCAATACTTCAGGAGAAAAGGAGTCGCAAATCGCGGTTTTTACATACATTTTTTTCTCATTTACAAACATTTTCAATCGAATTCAATCAATTTTGGTTGCATTAAATCGAATTCAATCGATTACAGCCGTCTTCAACCTAGTTCCATCCGCTTCAACCTAGTTCGATCCAATTCAGCCTAGTTCCATCCGCTTCAACGTATTTCAACAGAACTCAATCGACATATTGGATGCTATTAACAGAAAAATGCCAGAAAGCTTATATATTGTTGCACAACTATCAGCCAATTCTTGAAGATATGCAGAGCAAAAAAACTCCAAAGAAAAAATCCCAATTCGCCAAAGCTGCTACGAAATTTAATTCTAGGTATTAACTCGCTAAATAACCACATTGCAGTGGCTACTCTACCCCTTCCAATGCTTACTCATTCTCTCTCTCTCTTTCTCTCTCTCTCCCCCGCACACACACACACTCTTCCTCGTGCAGTGTGCTCCACCTGGCGGAAGGAAGCGAAATGTTTGTGTTGGTGTGAAAACAAAGAAAGAGAGAGTCAGAGGTAGAGATATAAAAAAATTTAACGGACAAATGGAAACAGATAAAATATTTTAAATTCTAATTAAATATTATTTATGCGAAGTGCAAGAATTAACATTAGAGCACGATCGTCGTTTCTCTCCATGTTTTTCCCACATCTCATGACAAATGGGAGAATAAAATTTAGATAGAACGCGGAGAGATCCGGGTGCGATACGTATTATATACTTATCAAATATATTGTATGTGGTATGTAAATCATAGTAAATAATAAAATAAAATAAATAATAAAACATACCAGGCAGTGAACCCGGGGATCTACTAGAGATGTGTTTGCCTTCTTGGCGCTGCTCTGTGTCTCTGATTCCACCGAAAGAAGGTCATCAACAAGATTGAAAACTAAATTCAAATGAATGAACTCGGAAAACTCGTAAAATGTGCGGAAAGTATTGATTTGTAGTAGGTATGTTATGTAAAATACTTAAAATATTATCAAAAATTAATTTTTTTAAATTTAATTTTTATAAAAACCTTTACAAAATGAAATTATAAAAGTTTCCATATTAAGTGCATCCTGATCAGTGAAGTCGTTTGACCCACTGCACTTGAAAGTTGGCCTCGTGAGCACGGCCCATCCTATACTTCCTATACTGGATTAAGAGAAGCCTTAGGAAAGAAAACTAGACTTAAATCTTAGAAGAAACCATACACCCAAAACTCTATACTATGTATTGCAGCACCGATGCAGTAGTGTAGGGGGGGTCATCCATTACACATGTAAACATCTCTCCTCTAATATTATACATTACATTACAATTACAATTTGACATTACATACATTATACATTACTTTACACTATACATTACATTATATGTAACAAAACTACGTATAAAAGTAGATGAGCGCAAAAATTAATAAATACTTAAATGTTGTCCGGTTAGTTTTGATTTTTTGTATATCTTGAGTCCTTATGAAAATATTCTGACCCTTGTAGAAGGGTCAATACATGTTTGAAAATTTACCGTTAGCCGAGATTTGGCCAATTTACTGTTCATTTGTTAGATAGTTCAATGTGTTTCAGAGACTTTGTGGTACAAATTTACTATTGCATGTTTTATTTTGCTATTATCTCCTATAAGAATTCAAGAATTCTTGATAAGAATCTTATTGGAGTAATTTTTAATGGAAAACTATAAAAATACCAAAAAATACCGAAATAGTTTAATTTTGCTTATTTTAATATTTTTTCACATCAAATTAAATAAAATAATATTTCAATTGGTTAAATTAGTGAACTTACAATAAATTAAGAAAATAGTATCGGGACAAATTTATATGGAAATCTGTTATGTTTATGTTTTTTGTCAGGCTGGGCATTTGTGGGTTGGACATTGGTCGTTTCAGAATAAACAAATTTCAATCAAATCTGTTTTCATTTACACATTTAATAAGTTAAGTTCTGCTAACCAACTTTTCATTTGGTTACCTTTTCTTATTACTTTTCAGACGAATGGAATTGATTTCAGCAGAATTCAACCGACTTCAATCAGCTGTATTCAATTTAGTTCAGCCAGATTCCATCAACATCAACCTAGTTCAATCAGCTTCAACTTGCTATCAATCTATTTCAATCGATTTCAGCTGAATTTCAACCGCGTTCCATTGAATACAATACATGACAATCATTCAATGCTCTCATTCAAGAATTTTTTTCAAATTAAGTGGATTCAAGTGGATTAGTTTTGATTGAAATCCTTTTGTTCAAACCCAATTCTGATTCAACATCAATAATATCTTTTAATTAACTGCAGAGATTAACTCAATTCTCCTGGATTAGCATTCCAGCTCCTTTGTTTGAAGATTGCAAATTTTGTGCATGCAACTGCCGCCGTTGATGATCCCCGGCATTCCCAACCAAAAAATAGTACTCTCCACCATCCAGTGTTTTTTCTTTTGTGTTTGGAAATTATGTTTATTGATGATTACTTTTACTTGCATTGTGTCGCTTTCTTACTTTGTATCGTTTTATACATGCAATGGTGTGGTCTGCTCCTGTTCATCTCTCCGATTTCGGCTATGGCAAACTGTGTACATCTATATATACTCGTATTTATATAGATATATGTATATGTATATTTGCGTGTATATGTATAGGTTCACGGTCATCTATTCAATACACACAACAATAAAAAGTGATGGCAAACGAAAATTCTTTTTATTTTTATTATATTGTATGTTATCTTAACCATAGGGTTTCCCCTCTACATATGTATGTGTGTATATTGTATACGCAAAAAAAATACATGTATATAATATATTACGATCTGTCAACTGTGGCTAAGCATCTTATCAAGACATTGACAGTGACAACAGAGATACATACCATACTATATGTATCAATATCTATCCATCAATCCATGTCATGTGTGGACCGTTACAATCGATAGAACTTTGTCGGTTTGTCTGCAAATTGCAAATTTCTGCTAATTTGTGCACTCCTTGGTGTGAAGTGCCTTATGAGATATACATGGGATGTACATACATATCATACATGTGCCTATGCATATCCGATGTGATGTGTGTGTGAATGCACTCTTGATGCTGGAATTAAAATTTTTCTATACCACTTAACACCTAGGGGATTATACCACTACCATCCATATAGAGATCTTCTTAAACTGATTCTCTTTTGTGAGTTTTTACATATATTTTTGTCAATATTTAATTGGGGAACGTGGAACGTGAGTGGGAGAAACTTCATTTGTGATTTGTGATTTTCAGTTGTTTCAGATGTTCTCAACTGTGCCTCCTCCGCTCAAGGGCGTCAAATAATTTTGCTAATTCCATTAATTAATTAATTAATCGATTTGTTTTGTTTGCCTTCCGCGATAGCTTGGCTGATCTTAGACTTAAAAGATGTCAACAAAAAAGACGCAAAATGTCAGTTCAAAAATATATTATGTATGTTTGTATATGCATCCCTATGGATGGCCTATGCCTTCGATGTGCGCTTTTCATTTTTGGTTTGTGGGAAGGGCTCCATTTTCATAAATTTCAACTATGCAAAATAAATGCGACAAAAATTTAATTTAGATTACAATTTAAATTTGTTTTCATTTCGTTTTTTTTTTTATAATTTTTTAAAGATTTTGTTCGTTTGTTTGTTTCAGCAAATGTTGCGCATATATGTTTAGGGGGTTCAAAATTTGTCAAGGAAAAAGGGTAGTGTGGATGTGGATGGGGCTGTGGGAAGGTAAATGGGTGATCGAACGAGTGTGTGGTTGTATAAATATTTGCACTATGTTATATGTATGTAAATATACAAAAAAAATCGCATAGTTTTTGTGTGTATTTGTACTTTGTTAGAAATTCACGCAGATATGCTGAGAAATAATCCAACCGAGTCCGCTAATCAATCCAAATCCAAATCCAAATCCTATCTGAACAAAAGTTTGTTGCCCGTACAGTACCATGCCATTTCCCTCATTTCCATGATTCGAATGATGATTCTCATCTTTTTCTCACAGTTCCGCCATTTCCATTTCCATTGTCATTTTCCTTCCATGCCAATATTTCTATTGTTTCATTCCTATATCCTAGATTTGTTATCGTACACAGAACTTATATGGTACATACATATATTATGTATTTCCTAAGGCTAATTTCTATAACTGCTAATTGGTAATATGCTGTTAGATACGTACTATACCTATGCATATGGAGATATACATATGGATAGTTGGGGGGTAGATAGAAAACAGTGAAAACATTGAAAACAAGGGTGAAAACTGATTTCTGTATAAATTGCACATCATTTTTTTGACTTATATATATATAACTACCACCATACATATAGTACATGTTGTTTTTATTTTTTGTTTTGTTTTAATGATAAAATGTTTCAATTTGGTCGATGCTCCTCCTGCTCCTGCACTTCGTCTCCTTCCCTTCACTTTCTTTCTCTCTTTTTGTGTGTGTTTGTGTGTGTGTGTTGGAGGGGGGGTGGGGCTAGGAGGGGACTTGACATTTAATTTAAAATTCTCACTAGGGTTTTCATACATGTATTAATATGTATATAGTATCATATGCTTTTTTGTTTTGTTTTCTTTTTGCAATTGGCACATAATTAATTACTAAAACGTTTCAATCAAATTATAATCGATCCATAAGAAACATTTCTCATGTGAGTGTGTGTGTGTCTGTATAGGTGTATTGCACATCACATACAGTTCTGAGTACAGTTTCCAACAAAAGGCAGCGTCCCAAAAACATATGCAGCTCTATCTGAACTGAAGAGAACTGAAAACTGAAATTAAAATTCCATAATAATAACGATAATAATAAATAAATAAAACAGATAACGAATTAGTTAACTAAACCATTTACTAAACATTTATTGAAATCAAAAGTAGTTGTTCTTGTTCTTGTTGTAGTTGTTTTTGCTGCAGTGGTGGGTGCACTCGGGTGGAGGGGGCCCAAAAACGAATCAAATCGAATCGGTACTCCAATCGAAAATCAAGAATTAAACTTGCCTTATAACTAATTGCATTATTCATCTGCATGGGATGAAATCGGGTAAGAGTACGAGTGTAAGTGTTGAACAACAAACAAAAAAAAAAGAAGTAATTAGGGTACGCATCCAATAATATGTATATAGTATGTGTATGTTCCAAAGTGATTAACTGATAAGTCCGTTGCATCCATCTGTAACTGCAACTGCAACCGAAAATTGTTGCAAACTAAACTACGATACACTTGCAATCGACAATGAATCGCCATTATAGACAATATATCAAAGATTACAGATTATATATATAGCATTAGGGTTGTGTGCTCTCAAAGGTAAAATTAATAGAATAGAAAAACATAGGTAGGTTCTTACTAACTAATTCAATAGTAATAGTGTGTCGTGTGTGTGTTGTGGATGATGTTTAAATGGGTGGATGGGTTGGGCAGAATAATTCATTATCCAGCGCCCCACCCACCTCATTCCATCCGATTTTCCGTTTTCGATTTAAACACTTAATGTCCGTGATCTTCGTGATCCAGAAACAAACAAAAAAAAAAATATATATATAGAATAAGGCGGGGAAAAAAAAAACGATTTTCTATTAAGGCAAATCAGGTTAAAGCGATCGATCCTCGTTCTCTCGTGTTTAAGTTTTAACATAATATTGAATATAAAGCTGCCAAAGCCATGTGTGTGTGTGTGTGTGTGTGTGCGTGTGTCCTTAAAGTAAATTCTAGTTTCTGGTTCTTTGTTTTTTGTTGGGGTTGTTGTAGCCCTACCAAAATTCCTCCTGCTGCCACGTGCTTCGTGTTTGCATTATGTGGATATATCCTATTATTTATCAAATTATTTCTGAATTTCACTTTTGAATTTCTCCTTCCTTTCGGTTACTTTAATAACTATTATGTATATATATATGTATATGTAGGTATGTAATATTAGGTGCGTTCCATTTTTTCATTACATTTCTCTGGTTTTCAGATTTTAACATTTTAGATTCTTCCTCCCTCTTCTCTCACTCCATCTTTACTAGAGTGTAGAGCGGCGTTTCTCAAAAGGTTTTCCCTCAGATAGAACAAACAAATTTAACTAAATTCCATTTACATATATGATTTAGTATACGAGCTGCTCGATTCTCCCTGGATTCTCCCTGGAGAGGAGTGGCTTCTAAAGTATTCTCATCTTGTGGTTGTGTTTCTGTTTCGGATTTTGTGTTTCTCAATTACACTTCTTACAATTAATTTAACAGCTCCAATCCTCTCTCCCCACCGTCCCAGTGTGGTTGAAGGGCTCCACATGGAAGAGCAACGGGTGGATGGTGGATTGCATGTCATAGCATAGCATCATAGCATCCACAAGGACAAGGATCGGTTGGTTATACACTAAATTCATATTTAAATGATTATAAGCTTAAGTTTTTCTCTTCTCTTCTCTTCTAGTCTGTTACTTTTCCCTTTCTTCTTTATGTTTTTTGTTTACTTATTTTTCATCGGTTTTCATGTGGATTGTGTGTTGTGTTGCTTGTGGAACAAACTTCAAGCATAAACTAGTAAATGCTAAACAAATAGGACAAGGTTGAGGTTGGGAGGTTGCTTAGGCAGCCGTGTCCACCTCCTCCACAATGTGATTGGGCGGCACCTCGCTGCTGGCCCCCGATGCTGCTGTGGCTGTGGCGGTGGTTGTTGTTGTTGTTGTTGTGGTTGTTCCACCAACACCTGCTGCTGTTGCTGCGCCTCCGGCTGCAGTTCCTCCTGCTGTTCCGACAGTTCCCTGGGCAGCGGTGGCCACCAGGGCGCTCACTGCACTGTACTGGGCGCCAGCGCCCACGGACGCAGCCTCAGCGCCTGCACTGGACCCCGCAGCCGCATTGCTGACATTGACCGCATAGGGTCCGCTCTTGAGTTTGCGCGCCTCCCGCTTCTGCTTGTGCTGCTGCATGACCAGGCGCAGCTGGTCCATCTTCGACTTGGTCTTGAGGTTGTCCAGCTCCTGGGTGCACTTCTGGCACGTGTGCTCCTTCTCGCGTTCGCGCTCCTCCCCACCGGCCACAAGGCGATAGCGGCAGCTGCAGCCATTCCCATTTCCATTGCTGTGAATGGATGCTGCCGTTGAACTGCCGCTGGCATTGCTGCCCTCCAGAAGGCAGCAGCTGTGCACGGACTTGGACGATGTGGAGGCTGAGGATAGTGCGGCGGCTGCTGCTGCGGCGGCGGATGCCTTCGATGCCGAATAGCCGCCAGTCAAGGCTGTCGACACGGCCGTGTATTGGTGGGCACGACTGCACTTGACGCAGTTGTGGTGCTTCGATGAGTACTGCGGAAGAATTCGATTAGTTTTCATTGTCCCAATGGAAAGGTTGAGGTTCTTCTGCACTTACAATTTTACCGCGGGATCCGTGGTGCAGTCCACTGACTGCAGCTCCTGCTGCTGCTGCAGAGGAGGAGGTGGATGCAGACGAGGAACCGGATCCGCTGGAGGAGGAGCCACCGCCCGTGCCGCTGGGTGCCTCGAAGCTGATGCGCGCCCCGCGGCTGTACTGGGGCGTGGCACTCAGCAGATCGTTGAGAATGTGAATTACCGTCGAGATGTCGCGCTTGGGGCGACCGTAGCGGTCCTGCAGTGCGGGATTGAGGGTGCCCGAGAAGGTGCCGGAGTAGATGCCCTTCCCATGGTTCTTCATCGACTCAATGACGGCCCCAGAGCCGCCCTTCCTGGGCGCCTCATCGCCTGCACCCCCAGAAGAGCCACCGGCCCCGTGGCTGCCACCACTGCCGCCGGACCCCGAGGAGCCGCCACCACTGCTGCTGCTGGAGCTGCTCACACTGGCACCGGACAGATCGATCTTGTTGGTGAACACCTCCTTGGAGAGCTTGCGCAGCGTCTGGGTGAGATTGCGCGATGCCTCGGCCAGTGTCCGGGTGTCGGACACACCCAGTGATGCCTCATCCGGGTCTGAGGAGGCTGAAACGGTGGCCTGGGGGGCTGTTGCTGTGGAAGCTGTGGGTGCTGCTGCACCAGCCTGCTCCTGCTTGCGGCGCGAGGCAGATCCCGATCCCGATGCCGATCCTGATCCCGATCCTGAGGCGGAGAAGGAGGCGGCATTTACACACGCCTGCTGGTAGAACTGATTCTGGCTGCTGTGGCTATGGAAGTGGCGGTGCTTGGAGCGCGCGATGCGGTTGTTGCCCGTCTTGTGCATCATCGAGTTACCAGAGAAGGTGACTCCGAGGCTGCCGCTGCTGCTGCTACTGCCGTTCGACGTGGCCGAGGAGCGGGACGCAGCGAAGCCAATGCAACTGTCGGGGCATTTGTTGGATCTGGGTAACATTGGGGCAGTGGCAGCAGCAGTGGCGGATGCAGGGGCAGTAGTGGAGGCAGCAGCCGCGGATGATCCCCCGTCGTCTGGCCAACTGGCGGCGTGGCCAGACGCGTGCAGAGGCACGACGTCAGCTTGGCGGCTATCGGATCCTGTTGACAGCTATTGCTGCTGCAGACCCCGCCACCCGATGGTCCTGAAGATGCGGAGACGGAGCTGGGCGATGATGTGGAGGCTGGCGCCGTGGCCGGGGACGCGATGGAGCTGCAGCTGCAGCTCGAACTCGAACTCGAGCCCGAGGGAATGTTCTTGATGGCCGTCATCTTGATGGGGCTCGACACGAGATTCGAGAGCGATTTGATGGGCGACTGCTCCAGCAGGTTCTTGCCGGTAGCGGCACCTGCAGCGGATCCATTGACTGTCGTGCGCGTAGTCTCCTTGAGGGCAAAGCTCTTGACAATGTTTTGGATGCCGCCCTTGATCAGCAATTTGCTCAGATCGGGTGCATTGATGAGGCCCTGACCCTGACTCTGACCCTGTCCCTGGCTCTCCTGCTTGCCCCCGGTCCGGCCCGGTGGCTACCACCGGCAGTGGCAGCACTCGATCCTGCACCTCCCGAACTGGAGCTGGAGCTCGAAATAGAGCTGGTGCTGGGACTGGGGCTGGAGCTGGGTAGTTCAACGAACATCTTGCGAAGCGAGGACATGCCCCCGCTGGTGCCGGCGGCCACCGCCGATGCGTTGTGATGGTGATGGTGGTGATGGTGGTGGTGATGATGATGGTGATGCCCATGGCCATGGCCATGCCCGTGGCCGTGCCAGGAGCCGTGATGCAGGCTCGGATGCTGATGGCTGTGCACGTGGCCATGGCCGATCTTTCCCAGGCGCTGGCCGGAGGGGCGAGCACGGGTGTGCGATGATGAACTACTGTTCGAGGAGCCAACGCCCCCCACAAACACTGCTTGTGACCCGGCGGCGGAAGAGGAGCCGCCTCCGGCCTTCGAAAGGGATGTCGAGGCGGCGGCTGCAGAAGTCGCCGCGTTGGAACTGGAACTGGAGCTGGTGGACGAGGAGCTGCCACCGGAAGCAGCGGAAGCAGCAGAGACGGAGCCACCACCGCCCGAGGCGGAGACCACAGTGGCGGCACTCGGATTGACTGTGCTCAGCTGGAGTTGGATAAGCATCATGTGGTCGCCCAGGCGCATGCTCAGATTGAGCGGAGTCTTGCCGCTGAGGAAGTCATTGACCTGCGATTCGTTGAGCGATTCTAGGGCCTGCATCACAGTGTTCTCCGGACGCTGGGCCTGCAAGAGAAGTGGTAAGAAGGAAAGATAGAAAATTAGTTATGTTTGTACATTAGATCTTTGGGAAACGAAATCCAACTGGGGAAGCCAACTGCTTGGATTATTGGATTGATTGGCCTGCTTAACAGTCTGCCCTGCCTTCCCACCACTGTTCAGTGGACTGCTTGCCTAACTGTTTAACTGGTGTTTCTCTCTGACGCACTGCTTTATCCCTCTCCTGCTTCCTGCTCTCTGCAGGTGAGTTGAGGTTACATCACAAAAATTCGGTACGCTGTGGAATATACATATACATTATATACTTTCCTTTCCCGTTTCCTGCCACACCGCAACATTCCAGCAACAGAAACGAACCCCCACTTTTTCAGAACCCAATAATATTTGCTTTTGTTGCTGTTTTTCTACTACGTGATTCAATGCACTGCCTTTGTTGCTTTTTCTCTACTCAAATAAAGCAACAGTAACGCGTACTACAGTGAGATCCCCCTGGACGGACATTCCACAGATTGATCTACGATCTCTCGTAGAGATCCCTGCACTGACTGTGCGCCTGATCTTCGTTGATCCTTGTTCCAGGAGAAATTTCATTGTGCCGCCTTCCTCCTCACCCCACAAATAACACACAGAACAAAAGGGGCTTTCAAGTGCGACTCAGAGGTTTGACGCTGGGGTCTGCGGTTAATTAATCATTTCCATACCATATATCCAGATACAGATGTACACACAGATGTATAATTATATATGTATCTGCCACATGCATTTGTAAGAGAGAGAGAGAGAGGGAGGGAGGGAAAGCCCCGCTTGGGGGTTATTTTTATTGACTCTGGGGCTCTGGGTCTCTGCCTCTGTGACACAGTGACCCAATAATATTCAAATGAAGACAAAAAGCTCAAGACGAAACTCAACTGAAACTCAGTTTCAGATGGAAAACGACAATGACGATGTTTATGCAGACATTCATACATACATACATATGTACATATGTATGTACATACGAGTATATGGATGTAGGTACGTGTGTAGCTACTTTCCCTTTGCCACATTTGACGCAGCTTAGCAGACCTTATGCAACCCTACCAAAAAGTTTCCCCCAAAAGTGCGGCCTAGCAACCAACAACCAACAAACACAACCAATAAAAGGTAATTCTTCGGTGAGATCGAAACTTTAGATACTCTCCCTCTATTGCAGATAGGTGGATCAAAATCAATCTCGATCAATTCTGCTTGGAAGCTGAAGCAGACAACGTCTGCGTTTCCTCTACTTTCCGATCGTGTTGCAATGATCAAATATTTATCCAAATCAAACAGGATAATTGTACAGAAAGAAAGAGGAAACCTAAGGACCTAGTAGATTCCAGATATTCGCTAGTCTCATCTGCTTTCTTCAAGCATCCATCCATGATCTCCCTTCTGTCAAGAAAGTGTATCCCAGAGGCCCAGAAAGCGTCAATGGGGTTCAGGCCTATTTGGTGACGTTGCTGCTGCTGCGTGCGACTGTGACTGTGACTGTATCCATGGCTGCCGCTGGCTAACTGTACCAAGGTCAACTGACGTCGTCGCACGCAACTTACGTCACCTCCCCAGCGTCAGCGTCGGCGTCAACGCCAACGTCTGCGTTTGCGTCGTCGACAGCAGCAAAATCGAAATTTTCAAATTTTAAAACAACATCAACAAAGCAAAGGCAAAGGCAAAAGCAGGCGGCAATGCTGTAATTTATTAACTTTGTGCAAATTGAGTGGATTTTTTGTTTCTTCTCTGTATTTTGTTCGTCTTTTTGGTTTTATGGTTTTGCTGGTTTGGATGTAACTCCGTGTTAGAACCGGTTTTAGAGGGGGTTTTTTCGTTGGCATTAGTTGTGTGTGCCAAAAATCAGATAACTATCATCATAATGGGATCTGTCTTTAGGTTTAACGCTTCACCAATGATTTCCGTCATCTTCAGGAGAAAAGAGATGATGATGACGATGACGATGACGACCGACTCGTGTATTCCATCACTCACTCACTGCTTGCTTACTTCAAGTATAACAGTATAACTACATATTGCACTGCTTGGTGGCTCATGGAACACTTGGGGACATACGCGTACAGTTTGCAGCTGTTGGCCACAGTTTGGCTTCCTTTCACAGGCCTCCTGTGCCTTCTTTTGCTGTTGATCATCGATTGCATATTCGATAGATCAGCAGCAATCAGCGCTATCAAAGCGCAAATAACACACACAAATTTTGTTCACATGCATACATTATTTTTTTTGGACAAAGCAATCTTTTCTTTCAGGTTTTCTTTTTTTTGTGTGTTTTTTCTGCGTTAGTTTCTCTCTCTTGCTGTCTGTGTGCGTGTGTTTTTGCATTGTGTGTGCACTGGGCACATACATGTGTGTTCCGTTCGTGTTTGCTGACCATGAAATTATTTTTATTGCGTAGCTTTTTGTGTGGCCTGCCTGCCATTCCAATGGAAGTTTTTCAGCGCACTTTAAAATTTGTAACAAATTAAATTGGTCGCTGCGCTGCGCTGGCCTGTGTATGTTTGATAAGAGAGAAACACAACTGTTTTGCAGGAAGGGTGCAGTCGGGGGGGAGGTAGGGGCATCACTCGTATTAGTTGCGCCTCTTTCTTTTTTATAGTGTGTACACTAGTGCCGGGGACAAAGACAAAGACCGGCGCCAGTCCCAGTCGCCCTCTGTTTGCCTTCATTATCTGGACAAGCAGTGCGTCAAGCCGCCGCCCGTCCACTTCACAGTTTTAGGGGAACTGGACCGGACCCCGTATTGTTTTTTGTTTTCTTCGTTTTGTCCATTGGTTTTTCGGCTTAAAAATAAGTTTATCAAAAGACAAATATATGTATAGTTGTGCCGGGTATTTTATTAATCATTTATTTTATTGTTTGTGGAACGTATGTGTCATTGCAGCACCCGCGGGGAATGAAATCATGCGAGAGGTTCCCCTCTCTCGGTGCATTTAAATTATGCCCAGGAGGAATACGGATCTCTCTCTCTCTCTCTCTCTTTTTTACTCTGTCTCTGTCTGTGCCTTTGCCTTTATCATATCACCTTAATGATGGGAAACTTTCTGTGCACTCGAGTAAAATATACTTCGAATCGATTCGAATCACAAGGCGCCACAACGAAGCAGCAACAGCGCCACTATAAACGTTTTCCAATAAAAAGAGATTACAGCGAATACTACTTAAAGGGGGGAGAACAACGAATGCGACAAGTGAATTCCTTGGCCAATTATTACTCATGCCCCCAAAAGCAATTAAAGCCAACTAATAATAGCAATTTGTAAATGGCAAAAGCACACACACATACACAGACAACCCACAGCCCCTCCCACAGGTCAGTCCGTCCGTCCCCCAGCAAAATGAAAAGAAATAGCAATAGCAATGGCAATAGCTCTGGGATTGCGAATCGATTCAACAGAAATGATAAATATAAATGAATATACAGTATAGTACACACAGATACAGATACAAATACTTGTATCTACTTTTGATCAAACAGAGAAAAGATACAGACAGTAGAGAGAGAGAGAGAAAGAATGATTGGAATGTTATCAATCGGAGAATTTTGATATCTAGTTTCTGGCATGGAATGAAATGGAATGGAATGGGTCATCGGAGTACAGTCATCTCTCTCCCCATTCATTCAAGACGTGTCTCGCACATCCGCCTAACAGCACACTTTTTCTGCAGATCTCTTGGATCCGATTCACTGAATGGGGAGATTGCAGATGAAGCAAGTGGCAGAGACTTCGCCGATAAACCGGAATTGACGGAAATTAAGTGAGCAAAGTTATTTCATATTTTTTTCTTTTCTTGCTTCTTTCTTGTGTATTTCCGTTCCATTCCATAAACAACTTGTTGACACATCATCGTGGAGATGGAGATAAAGATTATGCTGCCTCTGTGATGAGAAATGATAAAGATGATTGTGAAGGGATCATCTTTGGGCCAACATAAAGATGCAAAAAAAAAACTCTTGAATGAAATATAAAGAAAGTATCCCTGATGCAAGCTTCAAGGATTCCATCAATAGCAATGTTAAAAGAATTCTAATCTCAGAAGATGTTCTTCTAGAGCAAGGGAAAAAGACAAAGAGACAAAAATTACTGGTTAATAACCTGTCCACATCCTTCATCTTCCTCCCCCCAACTCATTCCCATTCTTCTCTGGCATCTTCTTGTGTGATTCTTTGCCCAAAAACACAAACATGTGTACAAAGGACACATAAATTGTGGTCTGGTCTGGTCACACCTACAACCCGCCGCCGTCATTCGCGTATATATCTGTAGAGATGTTCAATGCGTCTTTGGCTTTTTGGCACTTTTTATGAGCCAACAAAGCCATAACAGCATCCCACCACCACTGTTCCACTACCATTTCGTTCCATCTTTGTTGCTTTGTCTTTCACTGCCACTGCCACCGCCATCATCATCATCAGAATCCAGCGAGCGCCCTTTGTCTGCGGCTTTTGTCTTTTGCTGTTGCTGTGCATTTTTCTCTGCGATTAATTCCATTAAAAATCATTTTCATAAATCTATGCAACATCCCCCCTACTCTCCCTCCCCGGCACAATTTTTGACACCAGACTGCGACTGTCCAAAAGGCCAGACCGAAAGCAAAAGTAATTAATTTGACAGGTAAACGCCAGCGCATCATTAAAATGGCATAAATAATAAAAACGAATCGGAACGGAACGGAACCACTCGACAGATGATTCGGAATATTGCGGCGGCCTCCGTTCTCCTTTCCATTTCTTTTGCATTCGTTTGGTTATGGTGGTGTACGCCACCCACACACTGCGACGGTCATTCGATTGTTGGTGGTGCCAAAAAGAAAGAACAGCCAGCAATGGGAGAAAGTGTCGTCCAATTTGAGTAGAAGAATACTTCTTCATAATCATTATCATAATCCTACAGTTTAGACTGTTCTCTGTTCCATTCCGTATGTCCAGGTAGCAAGTGCCATTGCCACCTGTTTAGCTCTTTTATGGAAAAGAATTAAAGACTGCTCCTGTGAAGTAGAACCATACGTCTATAATGGAATCACACATTCCTTTGACGCTTTAGGGCGGTATTTATATCGTCCTTCCGCTTTTGGGAAAACGTTGTACAGCAAAGCAGTGTTCCTATTCTAGCTATTCCCCTGTTCCTGTTGCAGCGTTCCCATCTAATCTTGTTTGGTTAAACACCCTCGCAACACACTTTTAAACATGTGTAAATAAATATTCGTATTTATAGAAAACTAAGCAAAATCGAAAGTTTCGTCATCATACACTTACCCACCCACAGCACCCACTCATGCCATATATGTATGTATGTATGCACTCAGTATCCCATCATCATCATCTGGCGGAATGATGACTATATATTTTAGATATACATATGTAATATATCAGGGGAGGATGAGGAGGTATATAGCCTGTTGCCAAGTGTTGCATTATTTCGCTTTCCTCTCATCTGCCTACCGCTCTTGCAGCAGTGCAATTTCGTTGCGATAATAAACTTTACAAAATATTATTACTGTTAATAGCAGCTGAAATAATTCTCTCATTTCTCTTGTTCGCTGTGGATACAGATGTGTGTCTGTGTATATCTGTGTGAGGGGCGGACAGAATGTGTCAAGATAAAATTGGAGCAATATGCAAATGTCGTGACAGATACATATACATACATATATTCGCATCTATATCCATATCTGCATATATAAATATGTACAACTATATTTAGGGGGTATGTTCTCGTTTATTTATACGATGCTACTTTTACTTTTCTTTTGTTTAGACGAAATGGAAAGGAGTACGAGAATACCTCCTGATACTCAGATACTTTGGCGGTCACCTTTTGGCTTACTCATCATGCCTCATCCCAAAGAGAGAGAGAAAGATGGAAATGTCTCCATCGAATTCATCTGTCACATGTTAACACACATTTCGCAGAGTGGAAGGCGGCAACAACGGGGGGTAGACGAGCAGCCTGCCACCGAATTGCAAGTGTTTTTCTCTTCTTCTTTTTTTTTGTTTTCTTTTCTTTTTTGGCACTAATTAGGAGGCAATGGCATGAGGGGGCAAAAACTCAAAATATCATGAGTCACACAGAGAACAGATCACAGTCCATGGCATGGTCCACCTTTCTTTCCAAAAAGACGATCAATTCAAGCTTACAGCATTATGAAAAAAAAAAGATGCGGATAAAGAAATGGGCGAAGGAATATGCATTTGGTCACACCTTTTCCAAAACAGCTGCCACTAGCATGGTCATACCTTTTCAGTGGCAATGAAACACACACCAAACTTGCGGGAACGGGGGAGACTTCTCACCTATCTGCAGTTCCGAGAGACAGCTTCCCCAAGCCCTGAACGTCGACAATTGACAAGTAAAAATTATATACAATTAAAAACCAAAACAAAGCCCAAAAAAGAACAGAGACACCGAAAAGAGCACAAGTAGCAGCAGAAAGAACAACCAAAGAGACGCAAATTGTTAATTGGCTATTTAAACATTTATTTTCGCTTTTTTTTTTGTGTCTGGGTTTTTTTTTTTTTTTTTTCTTTTTTTCACGAATATATTGCAATTTCATTTCGTTTTGTAAATAAATTTTAATCAGCTTTTTTTATTGACTTTCCAGCCAGAGACAAAGAAGTGTCCGTCCCGTCCCTCCACCTCAGTGGAAGAGGAGCTCGAATTTAAATTTCGGTGAATATTCTGGGGCCTGCCTCGGGGCTCTGGTGCTTGGCTTGTGCTTTCTAGGAAAGTAAAGCTGTCGTTTGCGGTCATCGTTGGAATAATTAGATGTGAATAGAATGTGAAACAGGGATAATTTAGCTACATTTAGTCGCGTATCCATTTGAGACTTATGCAGGATCTTCCCAAAAATTATAGCAATATTCATTTGTTTCTATATTGGTTTTTTATTGCCATTTGTTTTCTCGATTTTTCATATGTGCTGATTATGTGCACACATGTATGCGAACGTTATTTACATACGTATGTAAATTTAACTTCTGTTTTTGTGCTTTGGATCTTTTTTATGGATTTTTCGTGCACGCTAAAATATTTCTTTGTTCACATCACGAAAATTGCATGAAATTTTATATATTTATACACACACACACACACACACACAGCCACACGTTTACAAGTGTGCTTTGAATGCAATATGAAATGCAATAAATATGGCCAACAAATGCCTCCCCCACCACACACCGACCTGGGAGCTGGGGTTCCGACGAAATTTTAAATATTTCTGCGAATTTGGTTACATTTTCAATGATTTCGAGGGTTCGAATCAAATGAGTCTTTGGGATTCTCTGATTCATTCTGAATTTTCAATAACATAGTAGCATTCCTTATCCATTATTTGTGGCTATCGCGGATTTGATGATGCTGTATATGATGTAATGTTTCGGGCGTTTCCTGTTTCATTTCCAAACTGGGGAATCACTGGATCTAAGGGACTTATATATGTATGTTTTAACGGTTCCACGTTTCATTCAACTGATTCCATACCATAATACACTTCCATATTCCAATATCCATTTTGATATCGGGGGGATTTGTGTAACTTTCCCAGTATATCTCATTAGCGGTTCCGTGTTTCCAAGGGTATTCCAAGAGAGTGTTTCTAATTTCTAGTAATCACATTCTTCTATTTATTCTACCCATTCCATCATTTGAAATGTGCCGTTTCCTTGGTGGTGGTGTTTCCCTTCAGGCTTTCTCAATTCCTTATTCCTTATGTTTAAGTCTGGACTTTTTGGAAGCTCTAAGATGTTGAGATCTTTTGCTCCCATGCTTTTGTAATTTATCATCTTCTTGATGTTCGCGCATCTTCTCTGGCAATGAAGTAAACCAATTTCACACGTTTCCCATGAACATTGAGGGAATTTAGACACAAAGATGTGGAAGACAGGAAGGAAATGCTTGAAGATATAGCAAAATGAAATCAGATGAATAAAATGACAGAGACAGAGAAAGAGAGACAGAGAGAAGAGTGTCTCATTCAAGATTTATGGCGATTGACACGGCATAGACAATAAACGATAGACGGACGCGATCAACGGTTATGTGGCACTGCTACTGTAGGATGGGGCTGCAATCAGAGCAGGCAAACAGTACATAGCATATTTTGCAATGCAGAGAGAGAGAGAGAGAGAATGGACCCAGAGAGCCAAGAGATCTATGGACTTGGCCGGCGGCTCATAACTCCAAACGGTAAACGGTACATCAAACGGTTGTGTGTGCCGCAACTACACACGACACAAAAGTAGGGCACAAGTGGAAGATAAAGTGGGAACAAAAAATAAGTGCAGAGAAGAGTCGAGAAAAAGAGAATACGACGGCAGACAAGAGATGTAGAGAGGTAGAGAGAGAGAGAGAGATTAAATAGAGATGGTACTACTCCCTCCCCCCTCCCATCACACCCCACTCTCTCTCTACAACTATCTTAGCATAATCCGTATTTCCCCTTTGGTTGCCATGCAAACACACTGCTTACGCGCACTGCTTGCCGCAACAGAGAGAGAGAGAGAGAGGGAGAGGGAGGGGCAAAACCAGAGCCATGACGCGCATACAAATGCAAACTTGACCTTTAAGATGGCGTTGGTTGTCGCATAAATTTTCCATTTTAGCCAAAAACTTTCTCATCAAAAAATAAAAATAAAAACGCACAAAGAAGCAACACAAAGAAACCTTCAAAGGGTAGAAAGAGAGAAAAAGACATACAGATAGAGAGAGAGAAAGAGAACCGTTTCCATGATTGGAAATAGGAAACCCAAAGACGAAGCATCGTTGTCTGTCAAGCGATCCAAACCCGAATAAAAATAAAGGTTTCAATCTAGTTTTACTTCGATTCGAGTTGGAATTTGTCATTAATTTAAGGCCTGCATGGCCCCGCCCCCTGCCCCTGCAAATGCTGCTTGAGGTGTGTGTACTCCATCCGAAAGTAGGCTAAAAACCCGTTTAGTTAAGAGACCAAATCGCAAAACGACCAACAAAATGTCTGTGTGCCAGTGTGTTTGTGCATGTGGGTGTGTTGTGTGTGTGTTGTGTGTAATAAAATAAATATGCAAAGAAATTCAAATTAATTAATGTCAAACAGCTTTTGGCAAACGAACAAATGACAACACATGAAAACGATCAACAGCAATCGAGTAGAATGCGCAAATGCAAATGCCAGCTCGATTTTGAATTTGGAATAGAATTAGTCACAAAAGTCCAAAAATTGAGACTAAATAAGGGATTAAATTCTCATTAAAAGCAAGCGAATTCTGACTGCTAACTAACTCGCTGACTGCACAAAAGGTAATATCGATAACTGCAAAAGAGTCCCAACTATTGTCTGACCGCCGGAGTCCATCTATCGTCCGCCTGTCGATTTCGCTCCGAATTACAGAATTCTCCGGTATTCCTGGCTATAAAAACCAAACTGAATAGGTGCCACCATTTATCGCGAGACCTAAATGAATCTTCAGTGAACCAACCACCCATTGAATCTACATTTTAAGCTTAGAATTTTATTTATAAAGTCAATCAAATCCTGTTGTTTCTTGATTCCATTTTTTATACATTATACATTGTCCTTCGTGTATTCTATGTAAAATAATCGCGATATTCGTGTGTTAAAGTGAAAGCAACTTACCAATAAACCTGTCTCGACATTTGGTATTAAAATGATCTTGGAACCATCCATTAAGTTGTGATCTTTGAGTGTGCCATCCTGTAGTTCTCTGCAAGAAGAAGGGAAATCGAAAAAGAATATGATAAAATGGGTTAAAAGAAATAGCTGCAGCAAAAAAATACAAAGAGAAGAGTTTTGATAAAGAAAATAAATGGAATTAGAAGAAACAAAAGGCGTGAGCCTCCGGCTTTTATCAATTGTTGTTTTTAATTTTTTTTAATTTGAGAAACAACAGAAATCAAAACACTTCAAAGTACAGTCACACAAAAAAAAAACAACAGAAAGCGAACAAGAGCGAGAGGTAGAGGGAGGAGGCAGGCGTTGATTTGCTGCTGTCAGCACTCGCGCGCATGCGTAATGAAATTTCAAGTGACATTTGAGACATTTTTGAGACAAAAATCTGAGAAATCTGAAAGATCGGCAGAGGCGAAGCAGTAGCTACACTTCCAAATTGATTGGCTCTTATATCTATATCGTATATCTATCCGAATTGGTTTCAATTTGATGATATACAGACACGATCATTTCTATTGCATTAATTAAAGCCTGATTAAAGACTGATCAAGAATATATACATACATATAAATGTGTGTGCATGATTTCTTCTGCATAGTTCGCATACCCTTTTAAAGGGTATAACTGCAGGCAAAAAAAAAAAGCAGAATGAGAATACAGGGGATAATGCAGGGGAAAGGGAGGTAGAAGATTAAGAAGAAGGCACCAGAGCAAAGAAATCAAAGTCGATGCGTTTTTTGCCACTTGAACAATAAATAAATAAAGTTGCATTTCAATTATCGAAATACAGATACATGTGTACGTCCGTATGTATCTCTGATATATCTCGCTTGATAAATGGAAAAAGGTGGGCAGAAAGACAGAACTTATTGTAACGAAGCGAATGAGAGCATAAGAGAGTAGGCTCGTCAGGATAGGCAAAGAGATTGCATTCTACTGCATTATGTTTGGGATCTTAAATAATCATTCTGCCTTCATTCATGATCCTGTTATTCATTCTTCATCCTTTAATTCATTATTCATCCTTTAAATCATTCTTCATCCTTTAATTGATTCTCCATACATTCATTCTTCGTAGATTCATTCAGTTTTTAGTTGCGAGACTTCATTGCCATGCCGTTTGTGTAGTGCTGTTGCACTACTCGCCAGCGTTGCCACACTCCCTGAAAGGTTGCCAAAGCTCTCTCTGACTATCTAAGGTATGCGCAAACACAGGAGCCGCACAGTGTGACCCAACTTAAGAATAAATGAGAATGAACTCATCGCCATTCCTTCCTTCTCCTCACTGCTCTTTAGAACTTAAGCAACAGCTTTTTTCCCCCGTTTTTTTCCAATATAATCCCCCTCACACACACACACCACAGGAGAAATACGACAAATTGTCAAATTGCACTCTGATCCACAGAATAAAATACGAGTACAATATATGTGAACAATATACATAAATACAGGAGGGGTGACGGCAAAGGAGGAAGGGAAGCGGAGGAAGAGGAGTAGGAGAGTAAACCTAAATGACAATTTATAAGCGCACAAGCAAAAAAATTAAAGGTTCAAGCACTTTACAGGTTTGCCCCCACCGTTGAGGGGTTTGGGGAGTGGGAGTGGGAGGGGTGATTTTACTGCTGTTACTGTTTTACTTTCGGATACCCGTCGATCTTTACTTCTTGCTGTATTTATTCTGTACTCACTCTCTTTTTGCAACTGTTTTTAAAATTCAGATTTAAATATACAGCAAATGCGTAAATGCAGAATGATTAAGAATAATCATGGTATCTGTATCTATTCGATTTATGAAACATTCGGATTATTATTATAGACAGAATGAATTGAAAAAAAAAAAAACCTGTCGTTTGGCTCTTTCGAACACTCTTTATGTCTCACAGCAATGCACTTTTGTATGGCAGTATAAGAAGCTGAGTATTCGGTGTATCTTAGTGTATCCATTCACGTGTGCCGCAACTCCAGGCGGTTCAACTCCACTGTTGACACTTTTCACCTGAAATTTGGGGCTCTACAACAGCAGCATCAGGTGTTAAACAGCATACAACAGCAGTGGCTGTAGCTGTGGCTGTGGCAGAAGGTAGGGGCAATGCCAGCAACAAATAAACAACACAGCTGCTGCTTGGCTATTTGTTTAATTCTGTTTAACTTAATAAATAAAGATATGTAAGAAACGGTTAAGAGGCGGCGGGCGGCGTAGGCAGCAAGGGGAGTTTCACATTACAAATTACCGCCTCCCACCCTCCACATAAGAATTATTTCCCATTATTTGCACTTGGTGGAGGGCTAGGGAACCCGAGTAGGGGTTGTACGGTGGGGGGGTGGATCGGCAGGAATTGTTTAATAAACAATTGCGTCTGCGTTTCTACGGGTGACGCAATGCTTAGCTTTTGTCTGGTGTGTTTATCTCTGCTGTGGTGTCGGATAGGATCGGATCGTAACATTGGCAGGCAACGTCTCCTGCGATACTGGAGGAGGATGGGGGAGTGTTTTGTGCGTTTTTCCTGGGAATTAAAGGAGTTTGTTTTTCCCATTTTTCCTATGAAATGTGTGGCCCAGAGATTTTGTTTAGAAAGGAATCAAATTGATTTGTGGATTATCTGATAATTAAATACGAGTAAGCAACAAAGGAATTGAATTTCGGAAATGGTATTGTACAGGTACGACTTTTTGGTGGCGGTTCTATCATATTTCAGAGTTCTCAAGCACTAAAGAAATATTGCAAGCACATTTGTTGGCGAAATAAATATGTTCGATATTGGAGGATCAATGAAATGTTTTAGCCCCGGTTTACAGCCCTCTTTAGGGACTTTTTTTGGTCATATCAGTTTTGGGAGCAAGTTCCACATGAAATATGGGGTTAAGAGTTCTTCTAGGGTTAACGAAACGGTGAACCTCGTCGAAAAGTAGTTTGCCTTCATGGCCCTGAAGCCCCAGCTATGCATAATACACACCACCAAAATTCGTATGAGCTTCAGGTATAATCAATGACGATGTCGGTTGCCTTTATTTATGTACATAAATACAAATCTATACAAATAAATATACATATATGTATATAGAGGGAGAGAGAGAGAGAGAAAGAGCTGCATTTGTTTTGGCTAGCAACGCACCAGAGGAGGCGCCCAGCCCAATCAAGCCACAACAGAAAAAGGGCAGTCAAGAGGTAAGCCATTTCGAGCTTAATCGAATACGAAAAATACGTATACGTCAGTAAGGGGTGATGGGGTAATGGGGTAATGGGGGGGTCGGGAAATCATAGCTTGCCGACAGGTGGGCATGCACAAGAGGTAGTGAGAGATTCAGTGAGAGAGAGAGATGGAGGTGCAGTTGTCACAGCTTCCATTTCGAAAGACAGAAAGAGAGGTAGGTAACTGTACGCAGAGAGCATAACATTACTTAACTGTAATTATGCTCCAGCGAAGAGCAAAATACCACAGAGAGAGGGAGAGAGAGAGAGATTGAGAGAGTTTGCTTTCCGATGCGGTAACCCCGGCAACTCCAACATAAAACGGTAACTAGAGAGAGATTGAGAGAGAAAAAGAGAGCAGCAACGAAACGTAAAAACGAAACGAAACGCAACGCAACGAAGCGAAGAGAGCGCATTTAATGACTGCATGCATGATTGATGAATTGATAAGATTTCGGGTTAGCGCGCGCTTGCTGCTGCTGCTGCTTGATTTTCTGCTGCTTTGCTGCACGGCACCGAAAACCGTAATTGGGTCAACGAAAGAGGCGTGGCAGCAAATGTTGCACGCAACCTCATGGACATGCACACACACACACACAGTAACACAGAAGGGGCTACAAATGCCGCCACGTCACGCATAACGTAACGAAGCAGTGGCCGGCCCCGTATAGCGTAAGCTTCAAAGCACCGCGTCACGTAAGCCAGCAGCAGGCAAATGTTTAACCGTAAAAGCCAATATAAAATGCCCCTCTCTCTCTCTAGCATATGGAAAATATGCAACAAATCACGTTAGCAGAGACATAACGTAAGAAGCCTCACGTAAGTTTCGTTTTTACTTATCTATGGATTTTTCTTTGCAAACAGTGCAAACGGTCAGCCGAGCCAGCCACATGTTGCAATATTGTCAGGCCAGCCGCATTATGGCCACAAAACGAAACTCACCACAGTGGAAACAGAGACAGAGAGAGCGAAAGAGAGGCAGAGAGAGAGAGAGGGAGAGGAGGGGGAGGAAGGCAAGGAGTGTGAGTGACTGGAGGGACTTTTGCCCCCCCAAAAATTTCAGCTTTAATTTTGATTTTTCTTTATTTCTTTTCGTTTTTCTTTTCCCCAAATAATACAGGGAAAAGCTCTTTTAAAGCCTAACAGGGAAAAAAGGGTGTGTGTGTGTGTGTTTGTGTGTATTTGTAGCCATGTGTATGTGTGTGCGCTTAGACATCGTCCCTGTCTGCGGGGGTGTCTGTGACTGCCTCTGCCTAACCGCTCTCTGCTAGCGTCGCTGCTTTTACGCAATAGGCAGACGACGACGACGACGACGCAATCTGACGTTACGCTGACGCAAAACGAAGGCCAAACGACGAGCCGTTGACGCCGCCACCGCCGCCTCGTGGCCCGGGCCGAGGCCTGGCCTGGCCTGGCAGCCTAGACAGCAAGACAGACAGACAGACAGAAGGGGTGGGGGGTGGTAAGGAGTGGGAGATGTAGGCAGAAGACAGCGAATGGGAGTGGGAGTGTGAGTGAGAGGTGAGAAAATACAAGTCGAAAAGGGAATAGAAAATTCAATTGGCTTCAGAGCCAATGAAGTTGGAGGAGGGGTAGGGCTGCTTCTCAAACTGTAGAGTTTCCTACAAAACTGTAAAAATTAAAGAGTTTCCCCAACCGTGTAAACCGCTGGAGTTGTGGCTCAGAATATCTGATGTTTTAAGGGATACTTTTCCCATTGTCGGTGATTGCTGGCATTGGCAATATTTGCCTGGCTTGCACGAGCTTGTCGTGTCTTAAATTTATTTAATTATTTCGGTTTTATCTTTGGTGCAGCTTTGGGCTTTAAATCTTTCTGTATCTGT